GCCAGGTAGGCTTTCAGATTAATGAGGATACCTCCTCTCTTTCCGCGTCTCTTGCACCTCTTGTTGCGGCGTAGCACGTAAGCAGGACGCAATAGATGGACAGGTACAGACGCCAGAAAAGGTGGCGGTGTTCTTGAATATCCATTGTTTGTACAGTTCAACAGGTTGCCCGGCAAGTTGTTCGTAGTAGCCTGTATCTTTAAAAGTGTCAAGCGATCATATATCAACAGAGATGACACATCATAAGAAACAGTTAAAATAAACACAATTATTAATAAAAAACACGACAGAGTGGGACGGCAAGCCATACACAGCGGCGCCATCTTGGATAGGAACAAAAGTGGTCCTAAAATTGAACCCTGCGGTACCCCACTATGAACGCAGGCCCACTGTGACATCGAGCCTCTTATAACTACTCGCTGCTTCCTATCCGTTAACCAGTTACTGTATCAATCCAAGTCGCTACAGTTCCTAAAATACCTGTCGCTTTGAGGTTAAGTGAGAGCCTCTTGTGGGGAGGCTTGGTATCTGGCCTGAAGTCTGCACCGTTGGATAATCTTAAGGCATTGTGGGAGGAGGACTTGGGCTTTTCCCTTTCAGATAATATATGGAGGTCTGTACTTCAACTCGTTAACTGAAGCTCTCTATGCTCTCGTCACTGTTTAATTCAGTTTAAGGTGGTACATAGAGCTCACTTGTCAAAATCTAAACTATCCCGTATGTATCCTGAAGTCGGTCCTTACTGCGACAAATGTAAAATCAACATAGCTTCACTGATGCATATGTTTTGGTTATGTCCCAGTATTCACACGTTCTGGAAAGAGGTTTTCCACACTCTTTCTTGCATTTTGAAAGTTTACCTGGACCCAGACCCTCTGACTGCACTCTTTGGTGTCCCTGGAGTTAATGTTAAATTGACTGTTGGGAAATGGAATGCACTGGCATTTGCTTCCCTTCTCGCATGACATGCCATTTTGCTTAAGTGGAGAGATGCTGCCGCGCCCACACATTTTAGATGGTTGGCGGATATCATGTCTTGTTTGAAACTTGAGAAAGTTAGACATTCGCTTAAAATTCCAGTGGTGAATTCCTTGAAATATGGGGTCCTTTGTTAAACATGTTTCAAAATCTGTGAAACTACAGCTTTACCACTACTTTTACTCGGGTATTGCTGACTTTTGTTTCGCTGGTTTGTTTTTCCAGGTAATTGGCAGTGATGGGGGTGGGGGTTGGGTCCTATTTGTTTTCTTTGTATTGGTTGTTAGTTCTATGATGACATCATTGTGAGCTGTACATCTTCATATTGTACATGTCGATTATTTTGGTGATGTCGTGCAAATTTTATTTTTTTTTTTTCCAATAAAAAGATTTTGATCAAAAAAAAAATAATTTCATCTGTCAGGTATCATCCCAGTTGCTAATTAAATCAAGATCCCCTTGTAGCAGCTGTGCTGCGAGTTCAGTATCGGCGACACCAACCAACTTTGTTGTCATCTACAAATTTAGCCAGTTTACTGTATGTATTGGGTTCAATATCATTAATGTAAATTAGGAACAATAGTGGTCCTAAAATTGAACCCTGCAGTACCCCACTATGAACGCAGGCCCACTGTGACATTGTGGCTCTAATAACTACTTGCTGTTTCCTGTCTGTTAACCAGTTTTCCATTCAAGCTGCTGCAGTTCCTAAAATCCCTGCAGCTTTGAGCTTAAGCAAGAGCTGTTTGTGGGGGACAACATCAAAGGTCTTCTGGAAATCTATGTAGATCACATCGTAGGCCTTTTTGTGATCATTTTCTCTTGTAGCTTCCTCAAAGAACTCCACCAGATTAGTTAAACAGGACCTACCTCTCCTAAATCCATGTTGGCTATCCCTTAGAATGTTATTTGAACAGCAGACCTTGGCTTTATGTTGCTGATGTAATTTGGACCTTAGGGAAAAATAATTGAGTACCCCTGGGTTAGTATGTCAAACACAGATGTGTGACTTAGGGGTGGGGAATTAAATGTGGTGTTTATCTGGGAAAAATACATTTCTCTTTTACAACGGAACAGAGTCAGGTTGAGATGAGACTGACACAATTTAATATATAAATATATAAAGTATTTATATCCTGTACATATATGACTACAGAGGCAATTCTAACAGAATAAATCCTCTGTGGGTGCATAGCATTGTTCCAGGTTTACATCTGACCTAAACAGATTATCCAAAAAGGCAGACTGTGAAACTTCATCAATGGTAACTTTTGGTTGTGCTAGTCATTGGTAATTGACTATTGAGTTTTTTCAGCAGAATTAGGCAGCAGACATTCAGCAGTCAGTCTTCTATGTCTGCAACTGGACCTGTTCTTTTCTTTTTTCATCAAAGTTCAGTTCTGGCTTTTCTTCAATACTTATGTGGGATCCATTGTTAGAAGTGAGACGGTCAAGGGTACTGTGCTTGGTCCACACACTGTCTAGGATATCAGATCAGCAAAAGCCCCTCCCTTCATACAGGGCAAAGAGAGTAAAAATCTTTCTTGCCAGATGTTTGGTACTTGAATCATAAATTCTAAACTTTAGAGCCTTCAGAGATGTAAAGCAGCACATTTCCACCACATCAAATGCCAAGGGTCAGAGGGGGGTTGTTGATGCTAAAATTTAACTAATGAGCGGGGTGGAGTGGGGATGGGGTTGGCATGCACATATTGTGCTGTGGAAGCTAAATAATACCTATATCTATGTTTTCATAACAGTCATGTGTTGTGCCGTGCAAGACGGAGTACCTGACAGCAGGTTTGGTTGCAAAACTTAGGGGGGGGGGGTTATTGACTCAAATGAACAAAGACTGGAAATAAACTTGATCTCAAGGGATCAAAATGGGAGGACCGGAGGAAGCAGGGCACAGGCAACACAAGGGTACAACATCAATGACTGTACTGGGGAAAACAGGACTGGGAAGCATTTATTTATATATGAAATTGATGGGGGAGCAAACAAGAGGCAACTGGCCTGAATAATGCAAGGGCAGGAACAAGAGATAAGACAAACGAGCAACAGGTGTGGCTTGTTCGGGCCATGCCAGGGAGGAGACAGGAGGGTCAGGTGGATATGGCAGGCAAGACATGATATCATGTACATTGATGTACTTTGCGGTTTGGATCTTCATTTTTACAGCAAAATTAATTTTTCAGTGAAACTCAAGTAACATCACACCTTCGCTAGCCATCTACTTTTGCACTAAGATTGACACATTGTAAGGACAGCATACTGTTAATAACTTCCCTGTTGTCTGATTATTGGATGAGGCATTAAACTAAAGGCAAATTACTGATTTTCACACAACTTAACAATTATTGAATTAATAATAATATATTGAGGAGTAGACATGTTGCTGGCCACCTGCTGAGTACTTAGGCTGTAAGCAAATGGATGAATCATAATAGAGCATGAGGTTGAACAAACTGCAGAGAAAAGATTCATTTGAGCACATTGGTGGAAAATGAAGTTTACCTGGATCTCCTTCCAGTGAATGACTACAATAAATCAACTGCATATCCTCATTCTCTTCTCATTTTCTATTCTCATCCCCCTCATGTCATCCTTTTTAAGCCCCCACAGCAATGAAAAACACCAGACCTCTGAGCCTCACGTGTTCAGTTCTAACTCAGTGTGACTAATTTTTCCTATTCTGGTATTTAAAAATCTTTGCTATAAAATTCACCCTCCTCCCACCACAAAACTTCTGAAATACCATGGTATGCCATATTACCCAAGCCTAGTAATGTTCATCAATAAATTTCAGTAAAACATATTTATTCTGTCCTAGGACGCAATCATTGTTCCTTTTCAGAATTCTTTAGTATATGTTAAAAATCAGTGTAAATATTACTGCTGCGGTTGGACCTGATTATAATTCTTTTACTCATAGACTGTGACAGAGTGCAGAAGAGAAAAGCAAACACAAACTGGTCACCAAAAAAATATTTTGGATTCCACAGAGATGACATTGAGCAAAAGTTAGTGGTTTGCTGGCACTGCTTTGGGTCGGAGTGACTTAACGGCAACACCACCAACTTATTTGACTCTATTGGTAGATGATAAGCTCCATTTTGGCTATTGTTGACAAATTTTGACTGCTTTTTTGCTTTACAAATACTGCATATTTATCACAAAAAAAAATCACATTACGATATTTGAATTTTTTCCAATTTCAGCGGCCTTATGACTGAACATGTACCTAGTAAACGCTAATGCAACATACCTGGCAGTGGCGGGTGACACAGGGCTTGTTGGAGGTGGTCCATGTCTCCGAGCTGTTATAAGACTGGTGCTCCAAGTGGCAGCCTATGGAAGAGAAAATGTAAGGGAATCAATGTGTACATCTTGGTCTTTTACCACTCTGAATATTTTTCTTACAACTAACAATACAGCAGACAAGATCAGTCTTTATGCAGATGATTAATTACAAAAAAAAATGAGAATCATTATAGTAAGTCATTAAACACAAATATTCTAAAAAAATCAATCTACTCTATTGATTAGGTGAAATCAACAATCCTCCCACTTAACGAAGACCAGTCTAATACTGAAACTTAATTACCATTCATCCATCCATCCATTTACTTCCGCTTATCCAAGGTCAGGTCGCGGGGGCAGCAGTCTCAGCAGGGAAACCCAGACTTCCCTCTCCCCGGCCACTTCCTCCAGCTCCTCTGGGGGAATCCCGAGGCGTTCCCAGGCCAGCCGAGAGACATAGTCCCTCCAGCGTGTCCTGGGTTTTCCCCGGGGCCTCCTCCCAGTGAGACATGCCCGGAACACCTCACCAGGGAGGCGTCCAGGAGGCATCCTAAGCAGATGCCCGAACCACCTCATCTGGCTCCTCTCAATGCGGAGGAGCAGCGGCTCTACTCTGAGTCTCTCCCGAATGACCGAGCTCCTCACCCTATCTCTAAGGGAGAGCCCAGCCACCCTGCGGAGAAAACTCATTTCGCTCGCTTGCACTCGCGATCTCGTTCTTTCGGTCACTACCCACAGCTCGTGACCATAGGTGAGGGTAGGAACGTAGATCAACTGGTAAATCGAGAGCTTTGCCTTTTGGCTCAGCTCCTTCTTCACCATGAAAGACCGATGCAGCGCCCGCATCACTGCTGACGTCGCACCGATCTGCCTGTCGATCTCCCGTTCCATCCTTCCCTCACTCGTGAACAAGACCCCGAGATACTTAAACTCCTCCACTTGGGGAAGGACCTCCTCCCCGACCTGGAGAGAGCACTCCACATTGGTCTCGGATTTGGAGGTGCTGATTTTCATTCCAGCCGCTTCACACTCGGCTGCGAACTGTTCCAGTGAGAGCCGAAGGTCATGGTCTGATGAGGCCAACAGAACCACATCATCTGCAAAAACAACGCCCTGGCTGCGCCTAGAAATTCTGTCCATAAAGGTTATGAACAGAATCGGTGATAAAGGGCAGCCCTGGCGGAGTCCAAACCTCACCGGGAACGAGTCCGACTTACTGCCGGCAATGCGGACCAAGCTCTGACACCGGTTGTACAGGGACCGAACAGCCCTTATAAGGCAGTCCGGCACCCCGTACTCCCGGAGCACTCCCCACAGGACTCCCCGAGGGACGCGGTCGAATGCCTTCTCCAAGTCCACAAAGCACATGTAGACTGGTTGGGCAAACTCCCACACACCCTCCAGGACCCTGCCGAGAGTATAGAGCTGGTCCACTGTTCCACGGCCAGGGCGAAAACCACACTGCTCCTCCTGAATCCGAGGTTCGACTATTCGACAGACCCTCCTCTCCAGCACCCCCGAATAGACCTTACCAGGGAGGCTGAGGAGTGTGATCCCCCTATAGCTGGAACACACCCTCCGGTCTCCCTTCTTGAAGATGGGGACCACCACCCCGGTCTGCCAATCCAGAGGCACCACCCCCGATGTCCACGCAATGCCGCAGATGCGTGTCAACCAAGACAGCCCCGCAACATCCAGAGCCTTGAGGAACTCCGAGCGGATCTCATCCATCCCCGGGGTCCGGCCACCGAGGAGCTTTTTAACTCCCGGGATCTGACAGAAATTTCGCCAAACCGTTTAAATAACTGCGAGTTTTTGTCATATACATATTTTAAAAACACCCTCAGAAACCTTAGATGGTCTACTTTTCAAATATATATAGGTAGAAACTAAATATATTTTTACAGCTTCGTGATACGAATAGAAAGAACAAGAGTGACTGACTTAAGCGTCTGCGTCTCGAAGCAGCTCTGATGGCCTTCCCACTTGCAAATCATGCTATTTGCATGATAATAACATGATAATCCGACAGTTAGTATTGGGTAAAGAAATATGTGAATACGCCCATTGTGACCAAAATAAACAAGAGCACATGTCTGGGTAGTGCTTACACCGATCAGCTACAATATAGTACACGGATACGTCTCTGCTGCTGAAGGTTTGCGCCAATGTTGCCATTTTCAGCAGCAAATCTCATACCTGTGTCCATGGCTCAGTGGGCTAAGCCTGTGTGCCTCTAATCACAAGGTCGCCGATTCAAACCCAGTCTATTTAGAACGTGAATAGCGATCTTCAGCTGAGAGCGGTCCTACACGCTCCTGATGCAAGTAAAACAAAGAAATATGATACGGTTTGCTTTTTTGCCTATTTAACCTAATTTAAAAAACTTTAATACTTCCGACAATGGAAGTTTTGAAAAGAAGACCGATTACGGATTTAGTCAGTGTTTTTTTCATGTTTCTACATAATGATTTCAGCGAGATATAAACTGAAATACATGAGAAAGATAAGTGGTCGACGATGCCCTGGTCCCGAGTGTTAATAATAGTCACTGCATCATATTTATCGCTTTCTATATTTATATGGTTACAGTTTTTAATTTTTCATTCCATCTACCAATAAAATATGAACGGGATTTTATTGTTGCTACTTTTCTTGCGTTTCAAATTGCCTTTCCAAAGTGATGGGTGTGGGGTGCAGTGACATTCCAGACTGATGGGCCATTGACAGTATGCAAACTACTACAGGTGTGAGGACACCTATCTCATCAATATTCATTGTGCAGGCCACTGACTTTGAGAAAAATAGTATCACTCCAAAGTTCTGACACACATAAAATTTCAGAATGTCACTTTCACCTATGTGTAGCCAACCCCTGTGTCTATAAGCTTCAGAGCTCAAAAGTCTTACCTAGAAATGTCTATAATGTGATTTTTTACAATTTATCAGCATGACTGAAAATAGGTTTTTGAAAAGTATATGTTTAAAGTTGATTTTAACAAAAAATAGAATAATAACATTCTAAGAGGTCTCAGATTATTGGTGCTGAGTTTGTGCTGAATAAAAGCAAATGTAACACTTTGGGATAAATGTTTTTTAGAAAGGTGAAATATTTTGAAATGTCAAGGCATGTCAGACTACCCCGAAAGTGGAAAAGAGGCCTCAGACCCCAGGGGGTTAACCACCTCAGCAATCTCTGCCCCAGAGATAGGTAAGTCCACCCCCAAGTCCCCAGACTCTGCTTCCTCATTGGAAGGCGTGTCGGTGGGATTGAGGAGGTCTGACCCACAACGTCCCGAGCTGAGGTCAGCAGCGCCCCATCCCCACCATAAACAGTGTTGATGCTGCACTGCTTTCCTGCCCTGAGATGCCGGATGGTGGACCAGAATCTCCTCGAAGCCGTCCGGAAATCATTCTCCATGGCCTCGCCAAACTCCTCCCATACCCGAGTTTTTGCCTCAGCGACTGCCGAAGCCGCGTTCCGCTTGGCCTGCCGGTACTCATCAGCTGCTTCCGGAGTTCCACAGGCCAAAAAGGCCCAATAGGACTCCTTCTTCAGCTTGACGGCATCCCTCACCACCGGTGTCCACCAGCAGGTTCGGGGATTGCTGCCGCGACAAGCACCGACCACCTTACGGCCACAGCTCCGGTCAGCCGCCTCCACAATGGAGGCGCGGAACATGGCCCATTCGGACTCGATGTCCCCCGCCTCCCCTGGGACATGGGAGAAGTTCTGCCGGAGGTAGGAGTTAAAACTCCCTCTGACAGGGGATTCCGCCAGACGTTCCCAACAGACCCTCACTATACGCTTGGGCCTGCCAGGCCTGGCCGGCTTCCTCCCCCACCAGCGGAGCCAACCCACCACCAGGTAGTGATCAGTTGACAGCTCCGCCCCTTTCTTCACCCGAGTGTCCAAGACATGTAGCTGCAAGTCCGATGACACGACTACAAAGTCGATCATCGAATTGTGGCATAGGGTGTCCCGGTGCCAAGTGCACATATGAACACCCTTATGTCTGAACATCGTGTTCATTATGGACAATCCGTGACGAGCACAGAAGTCCAACAACAGAACACCCCTCGGGTTCAGATCGGGGGGGCCGTTCCTCCCAATCACGCCACTCCAGGTCTCACTGTCATTGCCCACGTGGGCATTGAAGTCCCCCAGCAGAACAAGAGAGTCCCCGGGGGGAGCGCTCTCCAACACCCCTTCCAAGGACTCCAAGAAGGGTGGGTATTCTGAACTGCCGTTTGGCGCATAAGCGCAAACAACAGTCAGGACCCATCCCCCCACTCGAAGGCGAAGGGAGGCTACCCTCTCGTCTACTGCGGTAAACCCCAATGTACAGACGCCCAGCCAGGGGGCAATAAGTATGCCCACCCCAGCACGGTGCCTCTCCCCGTGAGCAACTCCAGAGTGGAAGAGGGTCCAACCCCCTTCGAGGCAACTCCAGAGCCCAAGCCGTGTGCCGAGGTGAGCCCAACTATATCTAGTCGGTACCTCACAGCCTCGCGCACCAGCTCAGGCTCCTTCCCCACCAGAGAGGTGACATTCCATGTCCCTAGAGCTAGCTTCTGCAGCCAAGGATCGGACCGCCAAGGTCCCCGCCTTCGGCCACTGCCCAACTCACACTGCACCCGACCCCTATGGCCCCTCCTACAGGTGGTGAGCCCATTGGAGGGGGGACCCACGTGTCTTGTTCGGGCTGTGCCCGACCAGGCCCCATGGGTGTAGGCCTGGCCACCAGGCGCTTGCCATCGAGCCCCACCCCCAGGACTTAATTACCATTGTTCCTCAAAATGATCAGCTCTAGTTTAAATTAATTTCAATAAATGACAAAACAAATAGAATAATCAAAATATAAAAAGATTTCAATTTTTACATTTATTTAGCAGATGCTTTTATTTGATGTGACATACAAGTGAAAGAGCAGAGTCAGCCTCCCTGTAGCAGCTGGGGTGAAAGGCCTTGCTAGTGACATCACTCTGTTGACCATGGGATTTAAACAGCTGATTTTTAGAGTGCCCTTAAGTCACTGCTTGCTGACTCACATAGCCACACACCCCTATACTATCTACAGGCAAGCCTTGCCTGGGCTGAGAAATCCAGGCACTATGTTGTGTTCATTTAAATAAAGAACCTTCACAGGGATCACTTTATCAGTTATTCACTGAAGGATATTTCCATGACAAACACACCTCATAAAACTCAGGTATGACCTGGAAACCACAATGTAACCCTTGAAGCACTGAGGGACCATTCATCAAAAAAACTCTTTAAAATACAGGATTTATTGGACATTAAGTCATTCACACACATTGAAGTGAATAACTGCTTTATCTCTTTAACACACATATTACCCTAACTGTTACTCACATGTACAACACACACAAACACAGCATTTCTCATTACCCTTAAATATAATTGTGTGTGGTAATAATGTATTCAGTTTATATTTGGTTAAGGGTTATGTTCAGCTGTTATGCCGACAACTGCTTGGCAAGGCTAGATAGTGCACCAGTGGTCTTATCCTAACCAGCCTAACTCACCACAAGGACACAAATATCAAGGCATATTTCTTAATGCATTTATGATTCTTTACATCATATTCTGGCATGACATGTTTTGACCACTTACACTACTCTACAGCAACTAGTGCAATGCATTAGTAACAAAATACCAGAGGCACACTTGTGTCTGAAGCAGCTAGCCATAAGAATCCATTACATATATGCTACAGCAGGAATATCATAACCTGGCTTTCGATGAATATATGACAAATACAACATAATCACATATGTTAGTAATTGTAAGAAATAGCTCTTTCAAAGTAAAATATATGTACAATATATTTGATCAACCATCAGCAAAAAAATAAATCAAACTTCAATTGAAATTACATAAAATACTTGTTACTTTATTGTGCATTCTAATAAAGTACACCCAATACTGAAGCAAGTTCCACGCCAAAAGGCCTAGGTCGACAGACTGAATTTTGCAAATATACTGGAAAACCAAAAGGTTGAACGTTTACTTATTTAGGAGATGCTTTATTCAAAGCGACATACAGTTGAGGAAGCAGGGTCAGACAGTCCCTGGAGCAATCAAGGTTAAGTGCCTTGCTTAAGCCCCAATAGTGACAGTACTCCACAACTAGAGGATTTGAACCACCACCATTCTGATCATGGACTCAGCTTCCTAACACATTGAAAACCAGTGTAAAAAAACAAATGAAAATCAGTGTGATTAAAGGAGAGCTATAAAAATTGGCCAACAAAAACTGAATTACACTATTCCTACTGTACATGAATTGTTTAATAATGCATCATTACAGCAACTTATAAAAACAAACTGAAACTGCTCTATTAAGACAGCACTGAGAAAACTTGAATGAACAGGATAAGTAAAACTAGTAGCCATACCTTTGCACTGCTCACAGCAGGCTCCTGTCTGCTTTACCACCAAGGCACAGTCGTCGGACACTGATGGACACTTCTCCTGCTTACAGTTTGCCTTCTTGTCCTTAGGGGAAAGGAGACATTTTTCTTAAATTGCCTCCTACAGACTTAACAATTGTGCTTATTTATACATCTTCTTGATACACATTGGGGAGACATTTCATCAGCAGGATGTACCAAATGGAACTCCCCCCCCCCCCCCCCACATAGTTGGAATTTACCAACTACCCCACCCCCTGGAATTTACTGTGGGGATTTCCCCCTCTGGACCTTGGCTTTGTGTCGCTGATGGAATTTGGACCTCAGGGAAAAATAATTGAGTACCCCAGGTCTAGGGATTCTACTACAGCATTCAGCTATTAAGTAGCAGCACATCACAAGTGAGGGGCTTTGGTTTCCATTTCAAACCATAAATAACGTAACACTTTCCCGACCATAAATTAAAAAATGGTGAAATAAACTTTCCAAATACTTTCCATGTACTTTCCAAGGATTAACATGTATATTATGCGCATATTATACAATACTGGAAAAATCTAAAAGAAAACAGTAGAATCCGTGTATTACATTCATCAGTATGACAGGCAGACTGAACTAACCAGGTTCAGAGCCATATATGGGTGTAGCTAAGTAGCAATTCACAATTGTGAAGACAGAACAAAATACAACATACGAAGCCAAGGCTGGAATAGGTCAGTCATCGGCAGGTTCATTCCTTGCAGTTGCAGAAATATACACGCTTTTATTTCTCCTGCTAGTCCTCACGCAAAAAGAAAAGAAAATAAACCCTGACTGAATTCGCCTCTTCTCCTGTCTCTTTACCCTTTGCGAAACACCGATAATAGTATCATCTTGCCTCATATGCAGCACTGCGATTTCAATGACAGGGTCAGACAGACAGGACAAATAGATAGGGGGAATTGCCTTCTAGAAGGCTGAGCCATTGTCTCATTGATTTCATTTCATCAGGAGCTGCTGCTGGTAAATGAGGGAATTCATTAGTACATCATATCAGCAGAGGGGGCTGATGCCTCTCTCCGCATCTCAAAGAGCCTAATGGCCTGTCATTCACTGCATTGTTGCAAGGCTTTCATTGTATCCATTTGACCCATCCTGTCTTCCAGGCCCACGGTGCCTCAGGTGCCCAGAACACTCTGAAACATTAACCCATAATCATATTTCCCTATCTATGTCTAAAGAGAATCAGAATTTTTGTTACAACTGAATTACTCATTATTTAGCCCACACAAGCTGTTGGTTAAATTATAACTGAGATTGTGTATATCTAAATATTTACTCAAACTAATAGTATTCCATGGTATTCCATAATAAGGAGAATTATTTTTTTCACAAACATTGATATTAATTTTAGAATTAACTTAATTTAAGTAAAGCTCATAGTAAATGAAAGGAGTAAAGCATTCATATTTTGGTCTATATCTTTCCCTTAAAGTCTCTTTAGCTTCAAACTATTGTTTTAATATAAAAAAAAATGAATTTGGTTGAAACAAACTAGCACTGTGGGTTAAGCCACAGTTAACAACCACCGGAATATGTCACTGTTTACAAGAAATGCTGTGAATGTTCCATTAATGGGCCAATTGTCAGTTATACCTGAACACATCCCCTAGGTTTTAGGCGAGTTAATTAAGTCAAATAATATTCAGGCTTCAAGCAACCAGTAAGAAGTTTTTCATCCACAAGCCAGGACTTCTTTGCCCCTGTTATCATAACCATGCTTACTTGGATTTTTTTTTTTAAATGTGCTTGCTATAAATCACAAAGTCAACATTATTACTGATTGGGCCTATCATAGTCTAGGTAAAGAGGCAAGCATTTTCCATGCAGAGTCTGAATTTCACCTCAACTTTGTTTTAGTCTTTGAATTCTTGGATTTTGAAAATGTTTCTCTTTAAAACTTTGCTAATATACTACATTTATTCATTGATTGAGACTTTCTTTTCCGAAATCAGTAAGAGCAAGATGCCAAGTAGTATAATTATTATTGCCAGCATTCAGAGAACATATGCAGAGAAAAATTCCTCTAAAATCTGGCACTGCAAAAGCTCCTCTTACAGCGGCCTAATCCTGGTATACAGTCTGGAAATGCGACATATCTGAAAACATATGCTTCATTCAGCTGCCTCCCATATTGAATACCATATGGGGTGGAGAAACAGATTATCCACTCAGGTACCTCTATTAAGACCAGCTGCAATGGACTGGTGGACAACGTTTATATTAGCATTACAGAATATAGTCCTCCTCGTTCTCCTTTCACTCTACCACATCATCTTCATGAAATGAGAAAACATGCTACCTAGACTTCTAAAACCATGTTCCCAGCCTCCAAGCATCCTTATAAATGCTCCCTAATGCCTGTTATTGCCAGGAAATGCCTGGATTCCCCCAGGTCAGCAGCTGGCAAGCCCCAAGGTCAGCAACAACCAAGTGACTGTCCACAGGCAAAGTAAGAAAACATATCACAGCACATAATGTGCAGGCAAAGATGAATATAAAATATTTACATATAACGAGATGCCACAATTAAACACTGAGATATAAAAGTGAGTGATGTGCACTGTATTATTGAAGAATTGGTTTCTAAGCTTTGAGAACTTGTTAAGAACTTCATTAAGAACCTTCATTAATGGAAGTGTAGATTATGCTGGAGTTGATTTTACATTAAGATCAACAGAACAGAATGTCAGCGTGGAAACTTTTAATGTAACAAAGTGAGCTTTTAGCAAGGACAACAGGGGTAATCAAGTGTGCTCTAGTTTCTGTTCTATGTGGCCGCTTCAATGTTAAAAAAAGCAAGCCCTAAATTTAATGTGCCATTTTCAGCTTCTAGTTTTAGTGGTTTTTAGCTCCAGTTAGGTCATAGGAAAACTATAATGTGTTTGTCAGTAAAGCATTGATGCCTAAGTAATGATAGATCTGAGTTCACTGAAAACAGGGAGAAGGGGGATTGTTTAACTTACAAATCTACATTTAGTATATAAGACATAATTTACTTGTGTTCCTTTTCTGAACATATATTAGTCTTGTAGATCTCTTTTAATCTTGAAGGATGAAACAATGCGTTGCGTAGATTGCTGAAGTTGTGTTTGCATTTCAAGTTCATAGTTCGTTGTCTCATGTTTCGCCAATTAATTTTGGTTTCCATTAATGTTGCTTGTGACATTAATTTACTGTAGGTTTTTACAGTGGGGGTGCCCAGCTCCGTCCATATTAACCATGATAAAATAAGGAGAAAAGGAAAAATGACTGTATAATAAAATAATTTGAAATATCTTGTGTTTTGCTTAGGTGTTCTTGGGTTGACATTTCATTTGCTTTAAGCATTGTTCTGAAGGCTCTGTAGTAAAAGGTGAGTATTCAAATGCTTTTGTTGTTGAATTTGACTTATTTAAACTTGCATTCAAGTTTCCTGAGAATAGCAGCAACAAAATTCTGGTGGCGAGGAGCAGATCACACAACAAAGAATTTACTTAGCACAAGAATTTAGAAATTGGTGTATAATATTTCCAGTCTATGTATGTATTAGATTTGATCTATTTTGCATTCTGCAGGCAGAAGATGAAGTTGTCATTCAAGCATCCATTGAGGAGACCACTGGGAATATACGTGGTCAAACACAATGTTACCAGTACACCAGAGGACATCGGGATTGTCCTGGAAGGCCAGCAGGTTCTACATGATCTGGACAACATTGCTTCAGCTGTTGCCATGTTGTTTGGCCTAATGTATGTTTTGAACCTCAACTACCCTCCTGAACTGAAGTACTTTTTTGAAATGCTCCAAAAAGTTGTGATGGAGCTAGATGGCAACACTATCTCTAAGAAAGCCCAGGTTCTTAAAAACAGACTCTATGAGTGAGTTGTTGCCATGGACCATGCATTTTTTCAGTGATACACAAGCACTATATAACTTTTGGAACTCTAATAATGCTTTTTTTTGCAATGTTACATATTTGTTATTTTGGCCTTTTAAAATACAAACCACTTACATACTGGACTTTGATACAATCTTCAGAATCTGAAAAAGCTTACACAATGTGCCTTGTCATTTTTTCTGATTTTTTTAAGCTAATAGATTTATTACAGAAGGTAATAAATCTATTAGTTCATTTCCAGTTTCTAATATAGAGGGATTTTTTTTTTTGCATCTTCTATACTGTGAAAATGGTTCTCACTACATTTTGGTGATACCAGCAGTAAGCCAAAGGACATTTTAGAAGCTGCTGCTATCGCTACAATTTATAAAGAAGTTCAATTTCTCAAACTTAGCAACAGCTCACCCAGTGTCTATTAGGGGTGTAAATCACAGCTTTCCTCGTGATACGATACAATATAGATTCCTTAAGCCAACGGTTCGATTTTTTTTGATACCTCAGAAATTCCCACGATACGATTTGATTAGATTCAGTTTGATACTGGGGATAGTAGTCAACGTGTTCAGGAGATTGTGTGCTCTGAGCATAGCGTCCTATGTCACCTGCCATACTAAACACACGCTCTGAAGGCTTCTTACTTGGTCCAGCTCCTCCATTCATTTTTATACCCATTTCTAAGTTTAGTAGAAATAAATTGGAGGCTAACTAGGCGACTCGGTAGCTTGCTAGAGATTTGCAGCAGCTGGCGTGGTTGAACGCGTCATCCATCCTCTATTTCTTTATGTCATGCGATCTACCCAGACTACCTTTGCGATCAACCAGTAGATCGCGCTCGACGTATTGGGCACCCCTGGTGTAGACCATGTATACGTTGGAGTGGATCATGAAAACAATACTGGAACAGGTGAGAAAATAAAAACGCATGTATCGATATTTATGTCACATCGATGCATCGGATCGTTTGCCGTTGTATCGATATATCGATACAAATCGATGTATTGTTACACCTCTAGTGTCTATGTTTTGTTTGATTTGTTATTTAGCCTTGTCATATGGCCTTTTGAAATCCAAACCTCTTACATACTGGACTTTGTAATTGCACTTGGCAACTTGCACTTGTGAACTTTTTGCAATGTTTATCATAGGTAAGATGCCACTTTAATGGATTTAATTTCTTCTCTTGGGATTTGTTTGTGTTTTTTTTTTGTTACGCATGTCACTATTGATTGTATATATTTAAGAGCCATTTGACACAAACATTTTTTCCCCAGGAGAACGCATTCTTCCTTCAAACTTGAACAGAACAGTAGTAAATGTTTATTGTGCTCTCTTGAATTTGGATGTAGCATTATTGATTTTGTTTTATTTGCATTTTTTCCCTGACAGCTAGTAATAAGATTGTGGATGTTTTCGATGTAACTATATTGTGGAAATACAAATACCTCATTAAAGGACATGTTCGTGCCTTATTTGCTTTGAATTTCTGGTGAGTGCATTAAATAGGATGTACAAAGTACATCTAAATATGTATATTATACATTTACAGAGATCAGTGGATGGAAATAATGTGGAATAGATGCATGAATAATGCAGACATTTTAAACTTCATAGTGTAAGCAGGTTAGATTAAATAAGTCATGTTGCTTTAACATATACCAATTAAATATACATTAAGTACATAAGAAGCTCTAAATTAACAAATTTATATTGGTTTGACATAAAATAGGTGATTACATTTTCAATTAAATTATTTTTTTAAATTAACATAAAGTCATGTTTGTTTAACAAAAAATAAAGTGTGTTTAACATAGGTAAAATGTTTTAAGAAAAAACAATAACATTGTGTGTAACCGATGTACATGTTTTTTTTTAATGTAAATCCAACAGACTATTTTTTTCAGTGTATGCATTTAGAAAAAGTAAGCCTTAAATGTTATTTTAAGGTTTCTGCAAAAGTGACTTAAGAAACTATGTTATGTAATTTTGACAGTTAATACAGCAATAGTAAGACTAGTACTTCAAAGAATCCATTGTAATCAGAAACTTCATATCATTAAGATGCAGAGTTAGAGGTTGTGATGCGATGACAAAAGGATGATTCATATGATTCATTTTCATTTACCATGAGTCTCACTTTGCTTTCATCCGTGTGTGTCTCATTAGCTGGGATATGTGAAACGTAGTAGTGCTTGTTGATGGAAAAGTATCATAAATCTATGAGGAATTTACATATGTATGTACGTATAGAGACACACATGCATATGTGCACACACACAATACACACACACACATAGAGTCTTGGGCAGGATAATGGACCAAAATGTAATGTTCAGGATTCAAACCCACTGAGTCACCATGATGCCCCCAAAACTGTACAGTTATTTTCAAACAGCTTGTCTGTAGTGCTTTACTTTCTTAATGCTTCCAGTTATTTGCTATCTTGGGTGTCACCTGCCATTTGGACTACCATAATTGATCACAAAATAGTAGGGTTGCCACTAACGACTATACTGTATAGATTAAGCATTCAATTATTTTGTCTATTGGTCGATTAATCTAACCAATTAATTTTCCTCCAGAAAATCAACTTGACCATTTAATTTAGGTTAATTTTATTTTGAGAACAAGAAACTGTATGCCATTGTAGGGCTTTAGATAATGTACGCCGGCTTTTCAAATTTTCAAATATCAGTGTAAAAAAGCCAGTCTCACCAGACACACACAGGTGATACAAGGGTTGTCAGTGATGTTGGGGATATGCAATACTTCCCCTTCGTTTTCACAGCTAGCTTCAGTACCTGTGTGAACCACAAAACGATAAGAAACTGTTAGTGAATCTTCAATATTCTGATTGTCCTCTCACTGTTGAGCAAATGAGTATTCAAATGGAGTGAATACAGTTTAGGCACTGTATCATATTATCAAGCATGTTGCAGTGAGTATGAGTGACAACCATAAGTCACTTATGACATACAATTTCAACGAGACATATCTATGTAAAACTATAGGTGACAGAAGGGTCAAAGCACGCTGCAAGATACCATAAAGTGATACTCTACTGATTTACAGCTAAATAGCATATTAATCCATTTATAATACATGGATATATACAAGTAGCGAAATTACAATTACACTATCCATCGTGTATACCCAATGTTGGGGAACCTACTTCTAAACAGCAGCTTTTCAAGCTATAAGCAACTTATGATTAAAGACACCTAAGCTACAGCCAAGCTACTGGTTTAATATAGTAGTTAGCTACACTGCAAGCTGATGTGAAAAAGTAACTAAGTACATCGAAGCTATTTCATCTTGTAATATTTCATATTTATGCTGTAGGATACTCTTAAAGCAAATTAATTTAAAAATGTGAAACATGATGTTAAAACTAATACGAAGATCTAATTTTTTAACAATGTAATGATAAATCACAATAATGTTTCAGAAAGGTTCTTTGTTTGGTGTAAACCAAGAGCACTACAAAATTGCTGTGTGAATATTAAAGGGTTACAACAACAACAAAAAAGATTTTGATAATCTGTCCAACAAGTGCTCCTATACATTTTAATGAAAGTGCTTAAAATCTCTTTAACATCCATCCCCACAGTATTCAAGCAAAAAACACCAATCAGAAACACCTGGTGCTTGAAAATACCTGGCTTTGTAACACCTGATAGACTAATTGAAAATACTTATCTTTGTAAAGAGAGAAAAATACTACAGGTTGTTGTCGACTTACGACCTTAATATATTTCGACTGACCGGTCGAAAGTGATTTGGTTGTATGACGCCCCTCTATTTTATATGCAAAAATTATCATATGTATAGTATACCGGATAATAAAATTATATACCTTAAATTAAGTAATATGTCTTGTGTTTTTTTTAACATTTTTTCACCATTTTCTTAATGCATTATTGTTATAACGTTTTTATCAAAATTTTCTTAGTTCATTATTGTTACACAAAGGGATACTACTGTATACTAGCCTAACCACGAGATGAATGAATGGGCGTCTTGCGGGGATGCTCATGCGGCCAGCAGTCGGGGCAGAAACTGTCATATACTCTCGCGGGGCAGTACTCGCGCTGCCAGACGCGGCTCAGCGGCAGCCACAAATCTGCGGTTTCGGAACGGTTGTGAAGTCGACCAGTTGTAATCGCATAGCTCGTAAGTCGACGAGGAGCTGTAGTATTTTAACGATGTAGCGTTTAGCCATGCTACATCGCTATTTACAAAAAATATATAGTTGGTTACCGGTAAAGCTACAGCGTTTTAAAAGTAACCTACTGATAAAAGTAAAGTTAGTAGTGTCGCTAATTGTAAGCTACTCCCCAACACTGTGTATACTAAAAGGAAGCGACTTTGGAAAAAAATCACTGACAGTCCAAGTAATTATGAGTCTAAGTAAACCCTTGTATCCTTCAATTAGAATAAGAATACGTCTCTGCTGTAGTACTAAGAACATGTTGTATGTTACACATACATAAATGTATACGAATGTATTTTCCAATGTATGCGCAGGCACACTGACACGTCAATCACTTTCACAGTGAAAACTGCTAGTGTTGGTTGCTATTCTTTTTAGATAAACTATCTTCCATAAGATAAACTTAAGATTTCTACAAGAGAATAAATGTCTTTTGTTGACTATTGCCATAGGCGTTTGCACATTCAAGTATTAAATGAGGAGCCAAATGTAGTGATCCTACCGTGTTAAGTAGTCTTTAAGCATATTATAACTAAAGGTGTGCTGAAATTAAAGGTAAATTGGTAAATAAGAAACGATCAGACTTACCTGTAATTAAAGGTGTGCTGGACTGGGGCAGTCGGAGCAGCAAAAACAGAAAGAGCACAGAGTGCATGAACTTCGCGGATAAACTCGCAGCATTGGCGTTTAGGCTTCCAAACAACAGCATCCTAATCGCGTCCCGTCAAAATAAAACCTAAACAATAAAACCAAGTAAAATTTTGAGAAAACAAACGCCTGTTTTTCTCCGAAAACCGTGTGTGAATGCAGGCGACGATACTATGTCAATGGGCATTTGAGTTTGGCTCGTAGCAGTAGTGCATAAGGCATAACCTTCACCTTATCAAAATGCAGAGCGACACTGATTGTGCTCTTTGATATCCGAGACCGACCGGACGCGTGGAAATTACAATGGTAATGTCAGGGGGGCAGACAGGAGACAAGTTTGACTCGGGGGAGTCATTCCTCTCCAGGTCCCCTGGAACAATGGCAAATTAAAGAGCTAAAATATTTTTTCTTCCATGCCAGTTACGCACACACACACACACACATATACATATATATATATATGTGTGTGTGTGTGTAATACAATCTATCCAAACTGTCCGAATACATACAGCGTGACCGCGCCGCCGCGATGTCCTACCTTACACCCTGACAAATGAAACGACGCCAACAGTAACGCACAGCCGCAGCGCCAGTTAAACCGGGGGAGGAGGTCCACCTCCACGCATGGATAGTTCAGCCCCCGCTATATTTAAATCGCCCAGATATTAGTAATTGAATGAAGCACAGCGTTACATGAGTCGGAGAGAGATCCAGTTACTTACTTCTTTCACTGCTAACAACCCATAGTGCAGAAGTAGCTCACATGTGGCTATTGTAAATCCAGTAATTCTTGGGAGGGATTCTCAGCGGTAGCTACATTCACATAACTTCGCTGCATTTGGCCATCCTTCTATAGTTCATATCATTAAAATGAAACTGAATGATGCGATTGCTGTATAAAGTTCTCCCTGTTTTACATTTGACATGACCTATTAGTTAGAAGCTATTAGTTACATACAAGACAATTAGGCTACGAGGATTTCTTTATAGTTACACTGTTGAAGGCGTCTTAGTTTTGAAAATATTTTATTTATTAAACGCCCTGACATAAACTCATAATATAATACATAATATCTATATTCTAAGCAAGTTGAAAATTAAGCGTCATTAAAAGCAGACCTAAATCGTTTCGAATCTCCCTTTTTGGTTTAAAATAGCATCGTCAAACTTAAAAAAAATAATAATTTAATTTTTAATAAAGCATAACTCATGTGCTGGTCTATATATATTTTTAAACTTAAACTGTATTCAGCAAATCTATTTTTATGATCTGTATGATCAAGTGAATGTACGGGCACATATTCCAGTAATTTTGACACTGTAAAAAATGAAATCGACCCTGATTTTATGTAAATTCATGCACTTCACATGACAGCCACTAGATGACATCAAAGAGCATCCTTGCAATAAGTCACGTGTTCTGGCATTGTGTACAACAGAATCTTATATAATACTTTAAAATATAATGAACTAGTCCCTCATAGGATATATTGATAGTGATATTTCAACTGTTTTACATATTACTGATTAGTTTATTATACTTTTCATATGGTGACAATAATCTACTGTTACAACATATTTTTTGGGTGAGGTCTGGTGATGCCCTGGTGATGTTCATTACACCTGTTGTGTTATCATTGGTTATACCACAGGGATGTGTCTCTTTAAACGGGAATTGCACATGGTCTGTAGTACACTGAGGAAGGCATTATGCCAAAATGCATCTGTGTTGTGTGCAGACTTACAATAAAATCATATTGAAGAAAAGTTGGACATCCTTGTTTCATTGATTCTCTTATTGCAATCCAGACATTATAGTACTAGGAGTGTAGCCCATTCCTCTGTACCATATTAAAGCAACTGTCCCATCAGTAATAATTGATGTAAGGAATTGATACTTTTGAAGCGGTGGTGAAAATAATAATAATAAAAAATTATATACACTCACCTAAAGGATTATTAGGAACACCATACTAATACGGTGTTTGACCCCCTTTCGCCTTCAGAACTGCCTTAATTCTACGTGCCATTGATTCAACAAGGTGCTGAAAGCATTCTTTAGAAATCTGGGCCATATTGATAGGATAGCATCTTGCAGTTGATGGAGATTTGTGGGGTTCATATCAAGGGCATGAAGC